TATACTCACTTGTCGGTCCGATGAACACATTAACATAAGTTACAGTTACTTGATCACATTTAAAGTTAAAACGACAAAAAGAAATTAAAACTTTATATTAAACTTTTAGTGAGGTCTCAAAATAGGTTAGAGATTGGTCGCATTTTACAATCAACAATCAATTGAGGGGTTACAATCACATCAAATAGGGAATAACAACTATGAGCTTAATATAGAATCACTGGTTTGGATTTTACGAAATATCACCTTTATTGTCTTTTTTGGAAAAAAATAAATGAAAAAATGTGTTGTATTTTAAAAGTATTGAGTTTTTAAAATATTCCAAACTTGCCTTATTTAAAAAAATAGATGCAAAAATGTATTGTATTTTGAAAATGTCGAGTTTTTTAGAACATCCATGTCATTATGTAGTCATAGCATACGGTGACATTATTCAACAACATAGAAAAAGTAAAAATAAAGTGTAAGGACAATTTCATTCAATCTAATTGTCATTATTCACAACGATAATAAAAATGTAATACAATAGGTCTAACTAATTAAGGACACTTAGTAATTGGTATATTGTATAAAATTAAACAACAATGGGTTAGAAAGGATAATATTAAGGAGGATTGTGGCACTGTGACGTTTGCTACTACACTTTATTAAAATAATATATAAATATTGAAAAAATTATAAAATATTTTTTATTTATAAGCAGTTTTTCTTACTTATTCATGAGTTTATAAGTAATTTTTTTACTCATATATTTTAGATGTAAGTTTTTTTTATTCATAATTGATTGTTTACTTATGTGTGGATTTTTTTACCTAATAAATTAATTTTTTACTTATAAGTATTTTACAATTGTAAGTTAGTTTTTAATTTATTCGTGAAAATATTTTTATAGATAATTGAATTTTTTTTTCCCCTTAAAGCTAAGCCAAACATATGCTGAAACGTGGGCCTTTGTTTCCCGTTAATGTAAGAATCAGTATGAAAAATATAGCTGTTATGGGCCCCACATAGGAGATATAAATTCAAATATGGTGACTTGATGTGATGAATAACGATCATATTTTTCATTTTAACGGCCAAATAATGAAAAATAAACAAGGACTTAAATGAGATTTTGTGCATGATCAGCGAAACAAAGGTCGTATGGTGGAGTTCAAAGTCCCATAGGGGTTAACAACAACTAAAAAAAGGATATTGCTATGTGTACACCTTATGGTGTACACAATGGCCAACACCCCTTTCACATGGAGGGGGGCCTACAAATATTTTATTGTATGTGAGCCCCCTCCATGTGGGAGGGGTGTAATGCAATGTGTACACCATTGTGTACACATAGTATTGTCCTTTAAAAAAAATAAAATTTGAAGTCTAAACTTGTCAGATTCTAGTTTTAGTCTAAATTAATGTTGCAATTTGTAGATTGTATTTTCATTGGATTCCCCAAAGGATAAGTGCTGAATTTCCCTTATTGTTTATTATGAGGAAGTGATATATGATTGCCGAAATCAATATCTTTATTTGGTAAAAGATAAGTAGCAATCCAATGTAGGGAAGTCAAGATCACGTTTTTCTAACTTTAAATTACTCAAAGATTTAGATATATACACCCTAAAATTCATGACCCAGAAAGACTTTTTTGGTAAAATAAGAATCGTATTGTCAAGGTTATAAGAGTCGAACAAGATAGAATGTTCAACTAAAAAGAATGGTAGAAGTCCAAAATTTTGGTCCAATAATCGAAATATTTAAAACTTGTTAAAATAATGTTATAATTAACTAGTAGTATTTAAGAAATTATGTTTTTATTTATATATTAGGACTTGTTTGGTTCTTATGAAAATCGAATATTTAATAAATTTTGATAAAAATTAATGAAATGGGTAATTAAAAGCTGATAATATTGTGGATCTAATATGTTTGATTGAAAATAAGTTATGTTACCACACTTCTGTGTCTTATAAGATTAAATATTATTGTGAAAAGGCTTGTTTTTATTTTAATATTATTTAATTTTTAATCAGTCAAAAAATCATTTAATAATTAAAAATAATGCCAAACAAACATCTAAAACAAATTTATAGGAAATTTATACATTTTTTCAAAGTTTTCAACAAAAAGATAAATTCCAAATGTAAATGTTAAATAGTAAATAAATAGAAATTTTTGGAAGATTTCCTTTGTTCAAGGCTTCAAGCGACTATTTTGAATCGACGAAGTGAATAAATCAACATTTAAGTTGTAACTTAGAAGAATTGTAAAAATAAAAAAATTTAAAAAATGATAATTATGTGCTCCTAGGTGCGCATAGCTGCACTAGGCGCACACCGCGCAATGCACATGGCGACGCATAGGTGCTGTCAATGTGCGCCTTTTAGAACAGTGGCTACAATAACGATTGTTGATATATATAAACAATTTTTAACCGCAACTACAAATATCATCGAAGATGAAAATGGAACTACATAAAAACCAATTCAGATTAGGCAATTTGACTAGAAAACTGAAAGTCGATTTGAAATATGGTTAGCCAACTCTGTATTATGTTCAAATTATCAAGCAGTTATCCTTCGATGGAAGAGGATGCGGAGGCGTTGGCTGTGCATGTATGATGTCCTTCTCCTTGCTAGGCCCATATTTGATCTTCATTATCTAATCTCATTTTTTTAAAACTTATTTTTAATCATAGATTTTTATAGTAAAATATTTTGTGTGCAAATTCAAATTTTTTTTTCCTACCTTTAACTTTACATTCTCCAAAAATTCACTCTTATGTAACTCATTTTCAATCCAAGAAAAATGTGGCTCAAACATAGCTTCTCAGCTGGATACGAAGTGATGGGGTTGCATTGTGGTTCACGTGCATGGTACAAAGTCTCGAGATGGATTTTGGAATAACTCAAAATGCAGCCATATTATTTCACATTGCTGAAACGTGTTGGAGGTGGCTCTTTTTAATTTATTCCTGGAGATGGGAACAAAGTGACACACATTTTTTTGTTTTACATATTTATTTAGGGTGCATTTAGCGCGCAATATTACACTATGTCAGATAACTTTTTCATATCTGATGTTTGATACAAATAATATTAGGATTAAATTAATTAGATCAAGTTATACTACCTTAATCAGATAAATTTAAATCATCTAAAAATTAAGTCTGAATAAATATGTTATCATACACTAACACGAGTTTTAGATATTATTCAACCAAACACTTGCACCCCTCCACTAATTCCACCCCACACCCACGCACTCCAACCCCCCATCCTAAATCGTCGCTAGCATATACTAAAATACAGTACAACCCTGCTACATATACAAGAAGAATTGTCAATTGCATTTCAAGAGGACATAGGTGCCACTACGTAGTCATTGGACCTTGAATTAAAAAAAAAAAAAAAAAAGAAGAAGAAGAAGTTACTCCACTTGTCTCCCTGACATTCTTCCAAACAATCTCCTCTATATTAGAGACGGGGAGGGGAATTATGCCCCGTGACGGGGAGGGGAATTATGCCCCGCCCCGCCCCACCCACCCGTCGGGGCGGGATAAATTGCCATCTCAATGTACATTAGAGACAATGTAATATATTTGTTTTGGGGTGGGTAAGTATTAGAATAATTTGAATATATATTTTTACAACTGCTGATCGAATCTAAAATAAAAAATTGGGAAAAAAAGAAAAAACATTTTTAAGAAAAAAATAGAATAAATAAATAGTGTCTAATTAGGTCATAGAATGATTTACTGCCTATGATGATATTTATTTGTTTGAATTGAGTACAGATTTAACTAGCTCTGGATAACACCATAACTTGTAGTTTTACTCGAAAACTTATTCGTGTTGACATAGGATTAAGTAGAATTACTAAATCCTTAATATAAAAACCAAACTGCTAAAAAATTAGTTTAAGATGGAAATGTTAGTGCTTGTTTTCATAGAAATTTGATGGTTCAATGTTCTCGAATCCCAACTTTAGTTGAAGAAGCTTGAGTTAAAAAGTTTAAAATGGACACTGGCAATTTTTAAAATTCAAATCTCATACATCTTTTACTTCTTTTCGTAACCTTTATGGCTCGAATTGTTAAGTCAGCATTGCGTGACAATAGTCAACAATATATAGTCCCTGTTTGGACTCCATTTTAATGTGATTTTGGAAGAAAAATGTATTTTGGAGTAGTCACGTTTTGAAAAATGTGGTTAAAAATAAAGAAAAGTTTTGAATTTATGTGTGTATTATTTTATAGAAGAATATATATTTAAAATGAGTTTAGGACAAATGTATTTTGGAAATAATAGAACCCAACCAAAGGCATAATATCAGTTGTATCAATCACTAAATTATTTTATCTTAATTTCAAATTTCGATTTAACAATTACCATGTCAAAATTTCAACCAAATAAAAAAATTTACAGTGTTACTAAAAAAACGCACAAAGCGCAAGTGTTAAATAATATATTGAAATAGTGTAAAAGAAGTTAAATGAGATGAAGAATAATCTATTTAGAATTTTTGAGCTTCTGGATATCGAGTTCAAAAATCATTTTTAAGTAAAAAATGCCTCGAACGAATTTATTATATCCATTTATTTTATTATTTAGATTCGTATTTATATCATTTCAACCACACATTCTTTAATAAAATAATATGACACATAGATCCAAAATATTTCCTTATTTTTTAACCATACATTTCCCATTAATATATTATTTGAAAATACATTTTCATTCCAATAATGTGGTTCAAAACTATTTAAAACTACAAGGAATATCCCTATTTAAAACTACGAGGAATCGAGGATGTTACAAATTCAGTCGAATTAAATGGCTTCACACGCTTAGTCCGGTCCATCTCATTTCAAGAAACGACACCGGATTATTAAAAATGCGAAGCAGAGGAATGAAAATGGCAAAAAGAATTCATGGGCGGGAAAAAGAGCCGTTGCTTTCAAATCAGCAAAAATTGGCGCCAATTTTCACTCGGTTTCATCTGCCGGACTCTTTCCGGGCAGCTCTGCCCATCTATAAAACTCGGTTATAGCCTCATTCAGCCATTGTCAGTAACAGTAACAAATTTCCTCTTCTCTTTCTTTCTCCATATTCTTAGAACGAGGATTAATATCAAGAAAAGCCCTTTTGGCTTATTCTTCTCTTCATTCCCCCTTTTATATTCCCTTTTTTGACATGGGTGTTACGAAGAAACAAGGAGGCAAAGAATCAGAAGGCAATACATGGTTGGTTTCTGGAATCTCAGTACGGGTACCTTTGAAATCGACATCTGCAAAGCCTAAAGAAGGATATGAAGATTATGAGTGTTGTGCGACTCCGTCGGCGAGAGAATTCAAGATGCCGGAGATGTTTACTTGCCCGGCGGCCCCAAGGAAGCGCCGGCCGAGTTTGAACTGTGAAGACTATGACAAGTGTGTTATGACTCCGCCGGCGAGAGAATTCAAGATACCAGAGACGTTTACTTGTCCGGCGGCCCCAAGGAAGCGCCGGCCGAGTTTGAACTGTCATTTTTATGGCGTTGGGTTCTCTAATTCACCGGATTTGGAGTCCGTCTGTCTTTATTCTCCATGCTGAGAGAACCCAATGAATATTAGAGCAAGGGATTTTCTTTTCTTTTTAGAAATTTGGAGAGTTTTGTTAGAGTTTGAACTGTCATTTTTATGGCATTGGGTTCTCTAATTCACCGGATTCGGAGTCTGTCTGTCTTTATTCTCCATGCTGAGAGAACCCAATGAATATTAGAGCAAGGGATTTTCTTTTCTTTTTAGAAATTTGGAGAGTTTTGTTAGTTCCAAATGATTTGTGAAATTTGCAAATACTTTGTATTACCGAATATACTAGTGCAGTAAATTTCATCTTTTAATTGTGTTTGTTTTCTGAATCATGTTCAAGTTTGCAACTTTGTTATTTACTTGTTATGTACATCATGCTCAGTAAGGAAGTTCGATAAACACGAATCTCCACCAACAAGAGAGGAGAAGACAACCAGCGAGGGAAGAGAAAACCAATTGGATAGGATTATAGGAAGGGAGCTGTGATTATAGATTTATAGTCTATGTTAATATTTTTCTTGAAGATTCTTAAGTTATTTCAGTTCTTGATTTGCTTAAATCCTGTGGTTATTTCGTTCTAAGGAGAAACTAAGTCTAATAATCAGACTTTGATTTAAACAAAAGAAAGAAGAAAAAAGACTGATTTTTTATTGGGATTCTGAGAGCAGTGGGTTCAAATTGAAGAGAGGTGTTTTCTGCCACCACAGCTGTCCAATTGTCCAGCCTCCAACGGTGATCCACACAGAGAATTTGATTGCAGCCTCTAGGGTTTTCTCTTGTGCTAGCAAGAATAATGAAAACCTTAATGGACCTCAAACCCTAGTTATATATTTATATAAACCCAAATAGGCTCGGCCCGGTCCGGTCCAATAATTAATTAATCCAATTAATTAAACCCGGTCCGTGAATCAATTAATCCAATTAATTAATTCGAAAATCAGAGGCCAAAAAGCACGGCTCAAATATTATTTAAAATGAGTGTGTGAAAAATAATTTTTAAAAAAATAAAATCAATTTCAATCAAATCTTAAATTTATTTGAATCATTTATGTTGATTGATACTTTATAATATTGGTAATTTCTTCGACATAAAACACAACAAAATAAGGCCATCCTTATCATCAGTAAGGAACATATTTACTATTAAGTTTTCAGAAAGCTAAACTTAATATAAATTAAGGATTGAAAAACGTAGTAAATGATGTTATTTTATAAGCACAATAATGTAATTTTAGGAAAGAGGTCTTTTTATCCATACCATTAGTAGAGAAGAAATATATAGGAAAAGATTTAGGTAACTTGGGGGAGTGTTTGATTTATTAGACAACGGGTATGTGTGACCAAATTTCTATAAAATTTTTACTAAATTTTGGTAAGAATCAATGAAATTGTAAATCTCATAAAATGTATGATTAAAATTAAAATTTTATCAATTGGAAAAATGGATAAAACTTTAGTAAAAATTTTATCAAACAAGGTAAATATATATATGAGAGGGTAAATTCCACTAGGGTCTTTAAACTTTCGTAATTATGGCACTCATACCTCTAACCTATAATTTGTTATTCTCATGTTCTCGTCTTCTGAAAAATGTGACACTCATCATAATTTGTAGCCAACATTTATTTGAACGTTCAATATGACACTTACAAAATGATGACAATTCTTGTTCAAAAAATTCTTCTTTATTTCAAAGATACTTCGAACAATCAGTAGCAAAGTCGGAAATTTCATAATAGAGGGTTAAAAATTGTTAAATGATTGCGAAGTAAATCTAAAAATTCTTCTTTATTTAAAAGACAATTCGAACAATCATGTATTTTGTAAATCTAAGAAAAAGATAAAAATAATTTAAAAATATTGCGAAGTGGTTGCCACTCCCCCTCTTTGTCGCTACCATGTTAAACGACTACAACTTTCATATAAAAATTTGAATATGGCAAAATTCACCTGTATTCATGAAATTTATTCCCTTATTTCCATCGTGGTACTTGCTTGATTATTTAGCCTTTGTTTGACCCTCATTTTTGGAGAAAAATATATTTTGAAACAGTTATGTGAGCCTATGAGTAGACTTAATATTTTCAAGAATTAAGTGTCTCTATTCAAAAATTATATATGACCTTATATAATGCCAAACGTGGTATTTAGTACAGTCTCTTATTTTTGCTTAGAAATTCCTCTCCCCAAGACCTCAAGATCTTATATGATGTTCACTATTACAGTTTACTTATAAAAATTTAAATAGATTAGAGATATGTGATTCATTAAATTTTTAGTTTTCAACACTTCTCACATGCTGACTATATTGATATGTGCCCAATTTTCTAATTGTTATTACAAGCTAGCTATTATTATGCTTAGCTAACACATTTTTGACTCAGAACTTTATCAAGTGAGTTTTTATAGTATTTAGAATTATAATTCTTAATTACGAACTAATAAAACCTAGGTTATATAAAGTTTAATAATCGAGTGGTAGCATACAATTTAAATTATAAGTAATCAGACTATTGGAGCTTGTTCAACTATAGAGTTTGGGGGGTGTCCTGGACACGTGGCAGCCCCACAGAATTGCTGTCTCATGTCCATGCAAATATGAGTTTTATTTATTTATTTTTCATCAGTTATGAGTTAGTGGAGCCATCTTTGACAGGACGTTTGCATAAAATATCTCTTTCCACCACTGTTCAATTGACCTGCTGTCTCGTGATGAAGATGAAATATGATGAATTATTCTACTTGGCCGGGGCCCAAGAAGCCCAAGCGCCACATCATTCTCCTGTTCGTAGCCCTGTTCGAACAGCTTTTTCCTTTATATTTTTAACTGTTTTCATTTTGAAAATCTACATGCTTTTGGAATGGTTAATAAGTCTGGGCTTGAAATTCTCTGGGATATCTCTTGTATCTTAGATTTTTCATTGGGTCGAAAAGAAGTTCAAGCAAATGACAATGGGAGATTGTCTTTAGAGTTAATAGAATTGGTATTCTATCAAAATTGAGCTATCAAATTTGGTTCTAGTAATGGAGATGTTTTCCTTTATTTAAAACTCAAAACCTGTTCTAACGAGATAATAGGTAAAGATACGATGTGTGATTGAGGATGAATCTTCATCAACTAGTGCAGTGAAGTTCATCTTAACAATTGGGCAAGTATCTCCCACCCTTTCTTGGGCCCCAAGTATAAATTTTCATACCCTAAATTAGTATATCTATGCCCTACGACAACAATAAAATCTCTGCTGTCAACCCATGTTCCTCGTAATGCTCCACCAACTATAATAGAACGAAAACTTGTGTAATTGGAGTGTGTTAAATGAGAATCCTACGTGGGGTTTTGAATTTTATAATTTACCATAGCCATTAGGATCTTTAACAAGATAAATAAGAACAACAATTGTCCTTAACATTAAAATAGTTCATGTCTGAACATGAAATTCATTTTAATGTTCCCGCTATAGTTGGCATAAAACGACATTTCAATACTAAACCAAAAGGCAATGATAAGAAGTATATTCATACAGGTAATGTAGCAACATTTGCTCATCTCCAACGTGTATGTCAACTTCCCCCTTTCGCAGTGGTCTACTTTTTTTAGTTTCTCCATATTTGTATAAATACGATATTTTCATCTGGTATCATATGCCTAAGAAACTCGTGAAGTAGACGTAAGCCATACAATATTCCTTCTAATGACCTCTCATTCTATAATGAAACCAATGGTCATTAGATTTGGTATTTGTCCTTTCGCTTATACTGTCTTAACCATATTGGGTGCTTTCACAAAGCCCCTTTAGACTTCCTCTTAATATCTTTAAAGGAATCAATGGTTTGCCCACTAGGGTTAACAGTCCTAAGCATGTTAAGCAACTCAATATTTTTGTATTCGAGCTTATTCACGTTAAATTCATAATTAGTTGTGAATAGCTTTAGCTGACAGAGATTACAAGACCAAGTCACTACTTAGTTCATGGTTTATGATTGAATACAGTTGAGACATTTCTCAACGTCAATCATCTTCAGTATCTAAGCATCGATTGAAGATTACTCTGTCATTTTGCACCTGTATAGTTGTTTGGAAGTCTCATATCCTTCCACACATGATTACTATCATACAACTCTTTGTAGTGAAGAATTATGTGTTAACATCTATACTCTCAAGTTGCTTTCGTAACTCAGTGACATAGTTGCAAGTATCACATACGTTGCAGTACTATTATCATCACTGCGTTTACTATAGTAGCCACCTCTTCCTTTATCGAGTCATCACCAGGTGTCTCTGGAAGGGGCTACTCAAGGACGTGACCAACTTTCTCATGCATAAGAACAATTTTCAAATTGCAGTGTCAATTAAGAAAATATAGTTTGGTTGTTGGCATCTAGTATGCCATTCAAAACATATGGTTACTCAGATTCAATATAAATGTAAATGACGAAAAAGAAAAGAATAAAATATATAAAATGCATTAATTAATTTAACATGGACTTTTATTAAATTAATTATGCTCCCACTGTTTAAATAAAATTTATGACCCTCTTACATAAATTTATGGAGTCCATGCTTGACTCCCAGTGGGCTGGGATCCCATCTATTATATTAAGACCTTGAGTGTACTCAACAAGCCCTAATATAATATTTGGGTAGATACTATTATCAATTGTATCTCCATACAACTCCCAGATCATTAAGCTGACAACTTTTTGTTTTTACACATCTTATGTGTTAGCTTAACTTGCCTCTTAAATTTATCTCCTTGAGTGTACTCAACAAAAGATAAATTTTAGTTAAGTCAAACCCATCATTCAGAAATATCAAATATTTCATAGTGTCAAACATATCCCTAATGGACCAGCCTTGAGTGTACTCAACAAGCTGAGACGATTTGGGACTCTGGTTTTTCACTATAATGATGGAAGGCGATTACAAATGTGACTTAATATTTTATTGAGGGGATTTGCATACAATTCCTAGATCATTAAGTTGACAACTCCTTGTCCTCACATATTTTATCATGTCTCTAAAATCTATCTCCTTGAGTGTACTCAACAAAAGATAAATTTTAGTTAAGTCAAACCCATCATTCAGAAATATCAAATATTTCATAGTGTCAAACATATCCCTAATGGACCAGCCTTGAGTGTACTCAACAAGCTGAGACGATTTGGGACTCTGGTTTTTCACTATAATGATGGAAGGCGATTACAAATGTGACTTAATATTTTATTGAGGTTCTTGTATGCTTAGGTCTCATCAATATCGATATAATCACATATATATATTTTTATTATACATCTACTATGCAAATAAATATATATATATATATATATATATAATATATATAATAGT